TTAATAGAACTATGTTAATGCATCTTGAAAATCAACTAAGAGTACAGAGAATGCCATGGCAATGTGTCTCGGTTGAATCACTTTACATCCCAATGGTGAAGTTTCAATCATGTTAATGTCAAAAGTAATCATTTAAACCATGTGGCAACCTGAATTCTTTCTGTAACATCGCATGACTGTCTGGGTCCCAGAGAAACACTGGGGTTTGGGGCTCTGCTAGCCGGGTGGGTGGAGTGAGGCCAATGCTACTGAAAGTAGCAGCATCTGCCACAGAGCTCTAGCCACAGGCATGTTAACTGTAGCCCATGACCCCTTAAATGTAAGGCCATTGTCCAATGCCACAGTACTAACTGAAATGTTCTGTCTCTGCTTCTGTGTGTCTCTTTCAGTCCTTGTAATTACAGCTTCACCCTCCACAGTAATTAGGGACTATTTCAACAAGGATGTGGAATGTCTCCATCTATGTTTCCTTTTCTTCATCTCCTTCTATGATCCACCCCCACAATAAAGCATTTTAAGTCTTTCTATGAAGACAAAAGACCGCTCTTTATATATGCTGCTCTTGTGACGGATAAGTAATATTCTGGAAGATCGCAATGTTAAGGTCACTTAATAAGAATCTTTTTCCATCAGTATGGCTATGAAGCTTCTTTTTCGTCAATACAGTGTTAGTGTAGCCTTGTATTTAGCACTGAGCATCTCCAGTCTCAGTCCTTGAAAAAGCAACGAGTAAAAGAAAAGAGAGAATGTCTCTAAACCATCCGCCCCCAGACGTGCAGAGAAGGTGGGTGTGTGGAGCAATAGTCCTCTCTCTGCATCGCAGTCAAATGCACAGGGAACAAATCTGCTGTTTCAAAGGCAATGAATGTTATGATATCTTCTGCAGTGCATAATGCAATCCGTTCAAAGCCCCAGGCACCAGCAGGCATAAACTTGTAGAAACACTATATTCTGAAGGCAGATGTTGAAGAGCTGAAGTCATTTAAGACTCCATTACATCGCATATTATAAGGCAAGTGGCGACTGATGTAATATACCGCAAGAAAAAAGGTAAATAAAGTGATGGATGGCGTAATCATTCAAGTGACTCCAGACGACATCTCAATGCATGACCACACAGCACTGTATACACTACGGACAGGCCCGTTTACACTGGATCCCTTATGGGCTTTTTATGAAGCATTTATCTTCATTCACGACAGGTTCAACATCTCCCTTTTATCTTGGTCCGAAACAAAATCCATGGCTTTTCCTCACTCGCCTTCTCCCGCCCTTCACCAACTGCAAGTCTTTTTAGCACAATGATATGACAGAAACACATAAGAATAATAGCACATTGTTGCTAAGAGACCACCTGTTCAGATCTCCCACATGAGATTGTGGTGAAACTGTAGTCCTCTTATCATTATCAGAATATCATTCATTCGAGTGTTGTGAACGTCACGACAATATTGCAACTGTAAGAGAAAGCTGTTATATAACATGATGACTTTTAGCCAAAGAAACAAACTGCATTTCAGATCAGGTTTTTTTTAATCAAACAGCGTACTGCAGCAGTTTCAGCCCAAACTTCTTTAACCAGAGATTATTCAGTATGGCGCTCGGTGAGGTTAACGTCAAACAACTATTTTGTCTTCCTCATAACAACCATTTGAGAAAATGGCAACCACTGTTTTCCTGGCTGTGTTGATAATTAGGGAGTGGCAGTGCATGGGAAAATGAGTGTTGTCCTGAGGGCAGGTAGAGACAAGACACACCCTTCTATTTCCTTACCTGGCAGGGTGTGTTCAAAACCTGCACCGCATGTATCGGGGAGAGAACACACAACACTTCCATGAAATAATGTTCATGTTATAATGTGCTAAAGGGTGTGGTCAACCACCTTGCCTCCATGCCTTAGGACCTTTAGGATACAAGTTTGGACTGTGGAAACCCTAGTAGTGATTAAAATGTTTCATTATTGACCGCTAGAAACACAGCCCCATTCTTCTTCAGCCTCTAGTCCGATTAATCTGTTTGTTCACTTTGGTTTTTTCTCCCCCTCCCCCAACACCTCCCTAGCCAGGTTGGCCGCTCAGACTTCATCCATCGGCATGCTAAGAGGCTTGACCCGGGGGCACAACCTCTCTCTCAGACACACAGTGACAAGGCCAGCTGGTGAAGAGGACTGTGGGCACTGCACACGAAGACGCAAGCAGCGAGTGTCAGTCTTAAGTATGTGTCTCACCCCGTCAGCGCGGGAATGACTAGATGCCAATTGCCACGTCTGGAACTGCCTGTCTATACGAGGGAGGAGACTGAGGTGAATCACAGGGGATCACGCTGGGATTGGTGGGTTTTACAGGGTTGACTCCCCTGTTGATTAAGATAAAGTCATCTCAAAAAACTAAGGAGTGCCTCTGGCCTTTACCAAAGGAACAATACTTTCAGTGAGATGCTGAATCTCAAGGCTCGCCCTCATAGTGCGCAGAGTCCCATCCCTGTTAAACACACACACTCAACTGGGCTAACATGAGTCACAGCGGTGCAGTTACCCTCCTCTCCTCCCATGCGATTTCTCAGTATCTGCCCAGCTGCTGTCTGCAATGACTTTTCAGCTGCTGTATGTTTTTAGATCTGCTCTTCCTCAGGAGAGGTCTGCTTGCATACAAAGTAGACAAACACAATTACTGTCTACGGAGGCTTTCAAATGTGCATCAGGGAGAGAGAAATGGGTAGGGTTATTGCAGGAAGCTAGTGTAGTGAAAGTCCCATTCGTTTTCTCTCAAAGTTGGTGTAAGGTGAGTGGTTGTTGGAGCTTTTTCAAAACCTGGAGTTACATGAGAGTGTTTTAATAATCAGTGCAAAGAAACGGAAACAGCATTACTAAGTGGTAAAAAGCTACAAAAAAAAGGTAAAACACTATAAACTGAACATGAACATATCCAATCATTGCGCCCTGCTTCCTTTGCCACCTATGGCGGGAGAAACTCTTAACTCATCACCCAGCATATTATTTGATTTGGGATCAATTTTGCATCATTGAACTGCACACATGTAACATGCCTTACAGCTTCAACATTCCCTCGATATGGCTTACAATCCACAAACATTTAAAGTGACTGATTCTGCACTTCATACTAGAACAATGTGTCATTTTGCATCCTATTAGCAGCAGTCTTCCATGACCATATATGCTCATTATTGCCTATCCTTTTAATAGGATGTCAAGGATTGAGAATTAAACAAGTGTGATTTTGAGAGTATGTAACACTTGAAAAATGCAGTATGCTGTGAAAGACTGCTGCTTTTCATCTAGGAGATATGATGGCACTGGCAGTCAAATTGAACCCATCCCTTTAAATATTAAAACACTCTCAAGATAACTGCCTGTTCACTTTGAGGTTAGTAAAGAGAGCACAATTGGCAAAGCAGTGACTGGGGATGACACTCTCTGTGACCTCTTAGCTTCTGCCACAAGGTCAGGTCCCAAGTGTGGAAGAAGGACTGTCACTCCACTGGCTGTCAGGACTTTGCCGGGGTCTTTCCCCCCAAAGATAAAGCCCCACTGCCTGGCTCCTACTTGAAAAAGCAAGACCGATCTATGAAGGGATCTGTTCCCCCAAGGAATCAGGATTATGTCACATACAGTGAGTATATATATATATATACCCACATTAGTAGGTGTAAACACATGGATGAACCCCGGCAGAGCATGGCCTTACATTCACAATGAAAAGGATACACTGTAGGTTGTGTGACCAATTCAGGACAGAAATAGCCACCTGAAATATTTTTGTTCCCTTGTTGGCTCTAAAAGAAGCCCTAACCAGTCTCTGCTCATCTGACCTCCTTTCTGATAGATGTCTATTCCCTGTGGGAGAATGAGCAGCTACCAACTACCCATTCTACTGGCCATCTGTGAGGGACGTTACAGCTGGATTAGGGCTTTGGGGCAGTTGAAAGTAGGATAACATTAAAGGGTTATTATGTGAAAATAATGACTAGGAATATATTGAAAGAGATCTCCTCCAGTATCAGTATGCTACAATCAAAACAGAAACCTGAGATCACTAAACACAGGAAGGACCCCTATAACATGTTGATAAATGAATCTGTGATTGGAAAAAACATTGATCAGCTACAATTTCATAATCAATTTCCAAGCATTGTTAGGTGAAAAATGACAAATCTCAATGTTGAATCCAATTATCTCATTCTATTTGTTTAACATCATTGCAAATGTGATGCATTTTGAAAAAAACAAGCCTATTGAAGACCTCATTTGGGGAGTTTTTTTAACAGTTTTCGGCCATTTCAAAGATAAAATAATACATCTACTAACATGAAATCCCAAAGCCAAGATATCCAATACATTTTAAAACTAAGAAACGCTTTCCCAGTAACCATACTGAGACTTAACTTGTAAATGCAAAGTTCACAGGTTTTAGGCAGAACCGGTTTGAGTGTTGAAATCCCTGTGGGGCAAATGTTTACTTGTTGCAACAGATAAGCCCAGCCTTCTCTGCCCGTCAAACACTGGCTTCTGGAATGCATCATGTCCTCATTTCAGGATGGAAACTAGGCTATAGAAATCCACTGGTGTCTTAGGAAAAGCCTCAACTGGTATCAGAGAAGAAGGTGGACTGAACAATAGGCCTACATGTAGGAAAAACTGATCAAGTGACTTTGGTTTTGTAAGCTGCAGGTAATTTTTAACTGAGGTGATGCCTTAATTATCAAACCTGCAGAAATATGTGGAGGTGGAAGACCATAGAATGTATAAATAAAGTGGAAAACAGACCATTTTGGTCAACTAATCAAAATAATATCACCCAACTGATCCACTGCGCCTCTCCCCTAAAGGGATTATCGAAGAAGAAAAAACATAAGGCTTTGAATGCGTCTTGACCAATAGAAATAGGTCTGATTAATGGTAGAATTGTACTGTGTGTCTGACAGATTTAATCAAATTCTCTATGTTGGCTACCCCAAAACTTTATTCATTAGTTGAACCTTACCTTATAGACATTTTCCGTCATGCGGTGAACCTCGTCGGTGCGAGACATCGTGAAATCTTCAGCCAGGACCATAAACGTTTCTTTTTCCTTCAAACGTGTATCCGATTAAAAATGAGGGAAAGGGTAAATTCACGAGTTGGATTTAACAATAGGCGAGGCAACGCGCCCGTGAGAGTGAGAAGATACAGCGCTTCCGAAACCCCACTCCAACTAAACACACCTTCCCTCTCCACAGCTGACAGCCCGCTGCTGCCTTCAGGAACTCCACGACAGATGAGCTTTTCGCCCTCTGAGATGAGCAACAGAAGGCTTGAGAAATAAACTCGGAAATACTATGATGCTAAAAAGAGGCATATTTACAAATTAAAGGTCCTCTTTTTATGTGTCATATAAAATACCATACCTAATTGAAAACAAACGATTCACCAGTGCTAGGCTGGACTGGATGTAGTCTTATTCAGAAATGTTGTAGCCTACGCTAAGTTTACAAAAACTAAATTAGTGTTGGCTAAAAATTAAAAGAGACTGTCTGTACATTTGTGTTTCTATGTTGACGAGGCTTCCATACTACTCGAGTGTTCACTCCGCTCAAACCCTTATCAAACATTTCCCACAGTATTAGAATGCAGCACCACCTTATTAGAGTGCACGCCCCCATAACTATCTACCAATCGAGCTCTACCATTACTATAGTATACACAAGCAAAATGCTCATAGAACATGTCACATTTAAAAGAAGTCCCTGCCCTGTAAAAGTATACCTAATATATTCCGAGTTTGATATGCCTATTTATGTTACCAATCCTATTGTGTGATTAAGATGAGCTTAAAGACACAATTCTCTAAAGTGTACAACAAAACACTGATTAACAGTATGGCTCCTGCCCACCAGTGTTCCATGTCCATATCAGCGTAGTGCCTTTTGTTGTTTAATGCTTATGCCCATCAGAGCATTTAAGCACACTCTTGCTGCCATTTAATTCATCTTCAAATAATGTGCAGTAGAGGAACTGCTGTCCCAATGAAGGTTTTCTTATTTGCATTTACAAAATAACATTTTATGTATACAACTGCATTGAAAGTCTGTGAGCGAGACATACTCTTGACTGTTTTCAGTTACACCACAGGTGATGTTTTTCTCACAGTGGGTAATTTGTGTTAGTTTCATTGTACATGCCAATTAGAGTCTAAGTGCCCACTTAGTGTGGGATTGTAAATACTATTACTGGCTTTCTTGTCTCAACATCTCCCACATATCAGCAACATGAGCTGTATACTTTTTTTTGTCAATAACCACGCACACTTCACTGATGGGAGGTGAATGAACACACCTGTTTTGTTGGGCAAAAATAAAATCTAGGAGGTAGTGCCCCCCTCTGGAGAAACAATGAAACACAATCTAGAGTTGTGAATTAAATGCTATGATATAAAAGGTCTGTCAGAGCCACAGAACCTTACTTGTTTGCTGTTATAAAAGATAAAATGATAAGAAATTGAAGAAAACATGTTGCCAAGGTTCAGTTTTATATGGAAAACAGTTGGAATTAATGTGTAAAACATCTACAAATGTGTCCTTTTAATTCTGTGACACCATAACCAGAGAAGTTACAATGTGACATTGCTGTGCTAATCTAATTCAGACACAGAAGAAAATAATATTTCCAATCCTTTAAGTAGATACTTCAACCGAGTAGTAAACCAGAGTGCAGACACAGTGCCGGTCCTGACAAATGTGTGAAGGTGCACTGATATCTGCAGATCCCATCTTCACCTTAGTTAGGAATGAAGACAGCCTATTTCCAACAATAAAAGTACTCTGTTAGGCTGCCAACATCTCTCTTTCTGGCTTGTTCTTTGCTTCTCTCCTCTCTAGAAAAGAAAGTCAAAGTAAAACAAATATCAGTTACTGTAAATACACTTTATCAAGAGTGTGAGGAATGCATTGTGATATAAGATTAGAAAAACAGCCATACCCGGTTCAGCCATACCCGCCTCTGGGACCCCTCCTATTGGCTCAGTAGGGACCTCTGGAAGGGCTAAATCTTCTCCCTGTTTCCGGACAAGGGAAGAGTAACAATACAAGTTGCAACAATACAAAGTTAAATTACCAATCACAAAAGCACAATAATATAACATTGGCAAAGTTAAGAACTGTTTTTAGTTCTAAAAAGTTAAATATTTTGGTAATGCAAGCGTCAGATTCAGAATCATGCATATTGACCTTTTCCCTGAAGTGCAATAATATCACTCAGCACTAAGGCTGTCATTGTTATTATATGAGCCAAGTTATTTAACCCAAACTTGTTTGATGGCACATCCAAACAAATGTTAGTTATCCTGCTAAAAAGGTTCAAAAGCTGTCTTCTAGTGTGAAATAATTTGTGTCGTTCGATAGGAATGACAATTTGCATAATTTAAAATAACAATTATACACCCTATTATTACTGACAATTAATTATATTGTGGCTTGTAACATTGCTAGAAGTATTCATCTCCTCCAGATATTGATATTTGACAAATCATGTCAAATATAAATAGTTAGTGGCAAACATCTGAAGCATGTGTTTACACCAGGCTTTGTGTAGCTTTAAATGTGGAGTGGGATGTTACAGGGAAAGATAATGCACGATCAGCAAACATTCTCTGTGGTAAGAAAGGTGCCCACTCAACGCCCACCTGAGTGATGGCTTCCAGCTCGGCTAAAACAGCATCCTCGTCCTCCTGCGTCAGGGCTCCAGCCAGCAGCTCATCTATTTGCTACAGGAGCAAAACGTGTTAGCTGACAGCACAATATAGCACTATAACACTCCTTGTTGTTAACCACCAACTATGTGCAATATGTGCAATATATATATATATATATATATATATATGCCGTTAATAACTGTGCAATATACTGTATACCTGGCTGCTAAATCTTCAGAACTGTTACAGGATGTGTTTTTTTGTAACTTGTGTAACTTTATTTATTATAAAATGTGTTATCTTTAAAAGGTACCCTATTATACTGTTTTTCATCAATATATTATAGGTCTCAGATATATACAAAACATGTCTCTGAAGTGTTTGGCTCCAAATACCAAACAGATCGTGCATTGTAGCATCCCATAAACCCCTCTGTTTCAGCCCTGTTTCAGAAGTGCTGATTCTCTGTCTGTTACTTTAGATGAAAATAAGGAGCCACTCCCCACGCCCCTCTGAGAGATATTTGGTTAAAAAGAACACAATGTTGCTCTAGGAGGAGATTCAGGTGATAAGATGGGCGGGGGTTACCTTGGTTGGTTATTGGCTAATGGTTACACAAGCCAAAAAAACGTTATGACATCATAAAGTTGCCAAAATCTGATCAGCTCATTTTCAGACAGGTTTTGATATAAATGGATCAGGACAAAAAGTGAGTGAATCTTTTTTCCTGAAACTTTCCGAATTTCTTTACGCAGAGGGGACACATGTTTATGTATAAAAGACATGAAAACGTGGATTTAGCATAATAGGTCCCCTTTAATATTTTTGTATGCATGCTTCTTAGGTAACATTAAGCTGTCTTTGGCTCTTTTCTGCTGTAACAATGTACATTTCCCCTCTGTGGGACTAATAAAGGTATTCTGATTCTGATTCTGACAGTGACAGCTTTGATTTGATGTTGTCTTACTATCAACATGGACAGTTATCCATGTAATGGGAAATGTATTTATTTTGTATTTGTGCAGTGTGCATCCTCTAAACATATAACATTTGGTAATGATTTTCAAATACAAAATTGCATTATTCAAATTAAATTAAATGCACTTAGTTTTTTATAGTGCAAATTAAGTTGATCTTAAACTTATAGCTAAAATAAACATATTCTATACAGGTTTTGATAAACAATCATTGAAAAAAAAAAATCGAAAAGGCGATTTTCGACTGATATCAAGCAGACATTTACCTTTTGATAATCTATCGAATCCTGGGTCTCATCCATGATTCTCTCCACATCTTCAATTGACATGATCTGTCAAGAAGAGAAACTCCATGATACAGAGGTGTTTTTAGATGAAAGGTTGTTTCCACATATTCTGGCTGGCTTGTGAATTTCTTGAACAAGATCTGTACACTGTATCCAAGGATGTGCAGCAGTCACACCGCTGTAGTCAAGGCTTTGCTTCTTAATCCTTTAATCTTCAAACAATGTGCACCAGCTATGCTAACACAAACCACACGCGTTCTCTGCTGCTTTCTTCACCAGAGGATCACATTAATTGAAGTATGTGTATCAGTGGAAACTTTGACATTGTTGAAGTATTCACTAACATATCTAAAGCTTAAGGTGGTAATATTATTGTTTAATGTGAAAGGGAGTTTTCTGTAAACAAAACATGAGTTAGAAACAAGAAAGCAAATGTACCTCGTGCATACTCTTCAGACAATCATTGCCAACCTTAAGTCCTTCGATTACTTTCATCTCAATTTGCATGAACTCAATATCTTGGACCTGTTGATAAAAAGAAAAACAAGTTGCAAAATTATGTTTTTCATTGCTTAAGTCCTGCCTATATTGAATATCAGAAAGCCATATTATACTGTAAAAGAAAAAATATTTTACTTTATTATAAAATTGGCTTGGTGAATTAAAAAGTAGATGTTGAAGAGTGTAATCTCACAAAACTTACCATGTGCTCTAGGTTTGAAATCTGATTTTCAGTCTTTTCTAGTAGTTGATCCTGATATCGTTTTTTCTTAAGAAGCAGCAGTGCTTTCCTTTAATAACAGATAAAAAGGGAAAACATAATACAGCAGAGAGTAAGCTTTAAAGTATTCATACAGAACGTGGTATTGCATACACAGTAAACATACAGGGGTCTTCAACGAAGGTTCTACATATAGGCTTATCATGCAGCGTTGCTTTTTAATCAAAACCTACTTACAGTGTTCTTAATAACTATTACAAAAATAATACATGTATATCATTTTCCGCACTGCTTTTTAAAGCTTGTTTCAAGATGTATAACAAACATTACACAGAAACACAACAGAAAACCATATCATTTTGATTGAACATTCTCTATTGTATTTTGTTGCCTGCCTTTAAAGAAGTGTTACTACATGGTGATACATACAGTATTGTTTCAGATGTGAACTGAAAAAGGTATATGTCTGTTTAATGCTTACTCTTTCTTGCCATCTTTTAGCAGCTGCTTTGCCAGAAGCCGCTCTTTCTGTAGCTGCAGGTAGATTCTCTTTTGATACTGCTTCAACTTATCTCTCTGCTGCTTCAATTGCTGGAAAACAAATACAAGTCAAGTGTGTTTTAACCAACTGAGAAAGGCTACACCTGATTAAGATGGTGTTAACTCTGGTTCCATTTAACAATATCATGTACAGTTTAGAACATCTAAGAAGTTGACCATCACATATGATACAATTCAATTTCACCAAGTAATATTCATTTTATGACTTTTCTGTAACGCATTGAATTGTTCACTGTGGTGTTAGACTTCATAACACACACCCAAAGACAACACGTAGCAAGTCCCAACAAAGGGGTTCTGTATAGACGCTGAATAACAGTGACATGCTAGGAAATGAAGCTAACAATAATCCATGTAGCCTGTTAGCTACAGCGCTATGCACTGAGCTACCCATTGCCTGTATTCAAGTAACGGCGAACTAATCTGCTGCTACAGCCGCTATCAGCTCACCAAAATGGCTTTGTCTTGTTCCGTTACACGCGAAGGTTGACTCTTTCTCCCGAAAACGTTTCCCATTATTTAGCCACATCCCCTCCAGAACCCCCTTCATCAAGAGACAAATTATTACTTAATTCCGAACATTTTGGCATGATAATAAACAGCCTACGATGGCTAGCAGGGCTAACTGTCTACCACCATGTCCACAGTTTTTTGTTTCCTACGGCAAGCGAGACAGAACATTAGGTCTGCAGTGTTCGACTTCGCTCCGATCTGCAACTACGACAAATATTTCTCAGTGTGACAGCACTCTGAGAGATCATATCAAACCCGTCTTTATATTATATACTTTAATATGAGTATATTTAATATTTAAGTTGGTGAATCATTACCTTATGGCCAGGTACCATGGACAGCTCCAGACTCCACAGGGGTTCCAGACTCAACACCTTGGGCAGAGATCATGACACCTTGAACAACATTTCCTAAAAAATGCTTGAGCTGAACAGGAACACAGAAGGCTGCTGTGGGATGATCTCTTTTTTTGTTCAACAGTTACCTCAGTTTATACAGTATCCAATTTACCATGGTTTTGTTTAATTTCACCAATACAATTTCATTGTGCAGACATTGTAATTGGAAAATGTGTTTTTTGTTATGCTTTGAGTAAAGAGTAACCTTACAAGTAAAATGATGATGTGATGGTGTTTAAGTTAGTTGTGTACTATTCAAAACAAAGCTGTCATCGCTGTCAACAATTATCTCAATTGTATTTGTAATACGTTTTATGGAATAGAGGCACCTTTTCTACCAGGTTTTTAAATGAATGCAATGGTTGAGCATATTTCCCTATGAGACATCCTCATGTAGGTGACACTAAAAACCCCAAGTAGCCTTATCCCAAGGTATCTGGGCTATTAGAGTAAGAGTATAGGTTAAACCAGGGGCGGATCTAGGAGCGAATAAGGTCAGGGGCCCAGAGAGGCCTGGGCGCCTGCAACATGCGCAAAGCACATGTTTTGGGGGTTGTTAAAACGCAGTAACACATTTCTTTGGGTCATTCCTGCCGTTTTACCTCTAACACTATGGGCTATATTTTGTTGAATTTTACTGCGTTGTATGACTACTTTATTATATTTCACTCAGAAAGACTGTCTCTACCTAAATGTCTGGTCCTGGTGTCAATAGGGAAGATCTGCACGGTTCTCTACAGCCCATGTTCAGCAGAACAGGTGGTGCAGCTGCCTGGTTTGGCAACCCCACTATAACTTTGTCAAGGGTGGTCATACTCCCACCAAAAACACACTGGTGTTTGCTGAGCCGGTCCCCCTCTAGTTTGTGCTCACAAAAGCATTTTACTCTGGCCTCAGCAGGTGAAAAACTAAAGAGGGGCTTCCAAATGTGGCAGACCAGGTGTTGGTGCTGCCGGATTTGGCACCCAAACTCAAGGCCCGGGGGCCAAATCCGGCCCGCGACTTCATTTTATGTGGCCCGCAAGAGCTTGCAAACAATAGAACACGTTTATTATACGGTTACATGCCACTTTACAGAAGCAGGTTGTCCACAATGTCCCACAATGCATCTCGTTTTGTGACATGCACACTGAAGAGATTTGCAATTATTTGCCCTGGACTTCTGCTTTCAGACGTAGTTGGTAGTTAATTACTAAGTTATTATCCTATCCGATAATAATCCAATTCAGAGGCAATAGTGTAATATAATACATTATTTAATATATATATTATATATTTATATTTATTATATAGTTACAACCGGCCCTTTGAGTGCAACCATAATGCTAATGTGGCCCGCGATGAAATTGAGTTTGACACCCCTGTCCTAGATAGTCGTACTGTCACCAAAATCACACTCGTGTTTGCTGTCCCCCTCTAGTTTGTGCACACAAAAGCATTTTGCTCTGGGCTCAGCAGGTGAAAAACTAAAGAGGGGCTTCCACATGTGGCAGACCAGGTGTTGGTGCTGCCGGATTTGGCACTCCCACTATAGCTTTGTCCAAGATAGTCGTACTGTCACCAAAATCACACTTGTGTTTGCTGTCCCCCTCTAGTTTCTGCACACAAAAGCATTTTACTCTGGGCTCAGACTGGCAGAGCGCAATGCCATACATAAAAGATCCGTGGCTGCAGCCCAGGACGCCCAGCCCTCCCTCCGCGCCTGGGTTTAACATCACATCAGTAGCATAGTAAGTAGTATAAAAAAGGAAAGACACAACACACAAGTCTGCATACAGCGTTAACAGTCAAATATTAGTTTAGTTTGATACATTATCCAACACAAAAAACACCATAAAGCAGGTTTCTTCAACACTGAAGAAAACAATGACTCATCCACAAGATACTGACGGTAGATGGGTCTGAGAACGAACTTTACTTTTCTGCAAATCCAGATTTATGTTCTACGAGCTGTGTCAGAGAACAGTGATGGATGACTGAAAGTCTATTAGAAGATGTTGTGCTCTTTAATAATAATAATAATAATAATAATAATAATAAACCCCTCACTCCAACTGCTTTACTCATCACTGATCAGCAGGTGATGCATTGAAGTTCAGAACAATGATAACTATCAGATGCATAAACCTGTTATTTGATCTAGAAAGATAAATATAAAATTCATCACAACTTAGTAAAATCTTTGGCTTCTCCTAACAAATCCATGTTGGTATGGTTTGCATTTTTGTCATTATTTTGAGTGGTTAAAAATATGGCGTTTCATTCATTTCGCACCGTAATTACACAAAGGCCTTCATTTCAGAGACGTACAAAGAGTATAGATTTAGCAAAAATCGAAATGTTGTTGTGATGGATGGTCTACTGGTCATAATCAGCCATCAGTATACTGACCGTTATGCGGATCATATCCATGCAGGCCACTAGAATACAAGAAAAAGCAAGAAACAATTTTCATCCAATCAGTTTAAATGATTGATTTGGCTCATATAAATGTTTATATTGGAGCAAGTGTTTCCACACATCATGACAACAGCAACAACAGTCTTGAGATGAACAGGTCGTCTGTTCAAAACTGCATGCAGGGCTTTAAGTGCACTGCATTGGTGTGTTACTGTGGTAATTGTCTCTGCTTTAATGTCCTAGAGTTGGACAGCTGTCTGCAGCTCAGGTATGAGAGACAGGACAGCCTCCTTGGTAAGAACCCAGAGTCTCGAACAGTGCTGTTCTGAAACGGTTGCGTAGGTAGCAGGCTACGCCTGGAAGTCAGTCCCAAAGTGTCTAATCTGGGCGTCAGTCATAGACAGATAGGTGGTCCTCATACTGGGCGAGTACTGCAAAGGAAATGATTGAAAAACACAAGTTAGCACATCTGCATTTAAACAACTGCATTTTTCTGTCGAATTAAACATCCAATGATCCGATTTAAGTTTGAAAAGATATCATTTAATTATGATCTGCTTATATGATGAGGTTTTGGAATTGGGAGATGGTGCTTTATTGTAGCTTGGGAATTACGATCGGGTGAAGAGCAGACAGGGGCATAGGTCAGGGGTCAAAGAATAACTTGCACTCACATAAAACACCTTGTGGATAAAACAGTGCCGGAAGGTTAAAGGTCACAAAGTTGAGGTACTGTATGGAACTTTAAGGTTAGACTATTTTGCATAGCCAGTTTAATTATAGAGGTAGGCCCACAGTGTGTTTCAAGTAGAATAATGAATATGAAATAAAGAAAATCAGGAAGAACAGGAAACTTACGGTTTTTAAAAATCTGAGTAAAAAAATGAAAATAACAACAGGGTTAGTTACAAAACACTGGTTAACATTAAGCAATAAGAAACCTTTTTGAGAAACCACTTACATAGAAGCAAGTAAAGTTAGTAGCAGAGCTGATTCATAAAAACAAAAACAGAAGGAAATCCATCTGTTACACAAACAAATAAAAAGCATATGCACAAAAACAAAAAAACATATGGCAGAGCCTTGCTTAGAGCCCCATAGAGGCACGTTTTCAACACATATCCACATTTATACACCCTTATCTCCCACAAAAAGTGTTTTCAAGTAATGAGTACGTAGTGATTGCATTTCAAGCAGTGAGTCAGCCATGCACTGAACAGAAAATGATGTCAAAAGAAACTTTAACTGTGGATTTTAAGCATCTCCTTTCATAAAGCTTCAGCTCTCAAACTTGCTTATAAAGAGAAGTCCAACCATTAAAACTAGGAACCTACACTGTCTTTATTTAACACAAACTATGGTTATTTTACACATGTGTAAATGTATGCACTAGTCTTTAGCACTTTTATAAGAAGTAGAAATAGAATCCAAGGCAGTGGTGAAAAGATTAGTGTGTGTTTGCATACAGATATGGCACAGGGCTAAACTTGTATGCACTTCAGTCAATGGCCAGCAGAGAGCAGTCTTTCATCACATGAAAACTCTCCTCACTTAGTGTGAACATTGTGAGCTTCTACACTTTGTATATGTGTTGTTATTGTCATGGTGCTGCTATGCATGCTTTCTGTTAGTGTTGTAGCTGTGTTAAAGTCAGAAGTGCCATCGCCCTTATCACACGAGGGACACTAGAGCCTCATAGGGCCAACGCACCGAGGGCGGTGGGGATCCTCTCCCTATCAGCGGGGCGTTCTCATATCGTGGACTTCCTCCAAACAGCATGGACTGATTCCTGTGATGGAGAGGGAAAGAAAAGGCAGTAAGAGATGAAACAAACAAATACCAATATGCTGTCATCATCTATTGATCTCACATGTATTCAGGCGGTGAAGCATTAGAAGCAGATGGCAGAGGTGGCTGAATGCTGGCCTGGCTACCGAGACTGCTGGTATAGCTACAGAAACTGTGTATGTTGGACCTTCTGGGGTTGTAAGACATCCGCCTCGCTTGGGGGTTGAATGGGTCCTCCTCATCAATGTCGTCATACTCTTTGTCCCTGGATGAAAGTGGTACAACCGCACACAAATTAGGACAGGAAGAGAGAGAGAGAGAGTGCACGCGTTAACACTTTGTGCATTGTGGGCAGTACGTAAAGTAATGGAATAAGGGGGTTGCTTGTTTCTGACCTGCTGCCCATTAGCGTCCACACTCTGAAAATTGCACACAGCATAGCAGAGAGTGCGCAGCCAGCCAGCAGAGAAAACAAAGAGAGGTAGAGGAGCCCTTCCACCCCATCATAGCACACACCTATTAGGGCATCCAGGTAGTCCTAAGAGAGAAGACGCACAATACACTCAGTTATTGTCAGTGTCCAATAATAATAATAATAATACAGAATGTGACTACTAAAACATTATTTTTAATGTCACTAGACTCTTATTCATGCGATTAATTTTTAAAAGAACCAATTAAGTTTTACCCAGACTAAAAACAATGCAGCATTTCAAAGCAAATATAGAAACAGAAACTGGACTACACAAACTAAATGTACATAATCTTTTTCCATACATGACAACCAATGTTTCTCAGTTGACATGGATTTTATGGACACATTCTTTGTTTGATTGCTATATTTGATTCATGAGTAACATATTTTGAGTTTGCATAGTTCTTTGTGTTGTCACTGAATCCTTCCTTTTTAAAATAAACAGCATATATTACTGGCATGCACGCTGACACAAAACTGATCACATTTTTAATGCAATCCCCAATCCATGCCTAAAGTGACAACAGGGCAGACCCTACCCCAACCCCACCATCCACCTTAACTTATCTCTAGGGTTTTGTTGAAGACAGACACACCTACGGTAGATGCAATATACAATTGTCATCTCTAAAAGCCTACATCTGATGTTACAATCACCGCAGCGGAAAGCCTCATTTCAGCCTTGAGATGTTCTATTGCCTTCACAGATAAAACTCTGACAATCTGAAAGCAACATTCGTAAAGTAAGACTGAGAAGTGAGAGGAACTGTGCTGAATAGTGCCAGTCTAGCAGATACAGAGTATACTGACAAATGTAATGGTGCATTTAAAGAAGACAGTCCAGGGGAAGAATGTAAAAATACGGTTTTAAAAGCAGTCGAGTTGGTCCTTGAGCTGTGCCACAAACAGCCCTATTAAAAATGGTTCTGGTCGGAATCTGACCTTACCTTATGTAGCCCGCGGCAATCGAGCAAGGCTGTTAGCTGGTGTAGACTGAACTCAGTGGAGTTCAGCAGTCGCTGGATCCCCAGAAGGTCTCTCTGTTTAAAAAGGTATAAAAGGGAAGTGAAAATGACACACACTTTCTCATAGTATGGTTTAATAATCTCTCCTTCACGCAGCCACTTACCTCAGCAGTGGGGAAAATGGGCACCGTTATTTGCAGCAAGCCCTGGATCTGGATTTGCATGGTGGTCAAAGAACGCTGACAGATCGTCAAAGACTGTGAAAACATAATCGCCCACCAACATCACACGCACAGCCACAACAAACAAAAGACAGAATTATATCATAAAGAGCATTGTTTGGGAGTAGCATGTCAACAAGTAATTCGGTGTTAAAGGCTTTATAATGCGCTTAACAGAGGACACACTTCTTTCCAGACAGATAGGCTCAGATTATCCTTAGCCACCAACCATCTCACCCACCAATCACTGCCCCTCCTCCTATTCCCCCCCCAACCCAGTCTTAAGCACAAACAAAAGAGTAATATTTATATCAACTAGGCCATCGGACGAGGAGATTATCCTTACCTACTTAACAGGCATCATTAATCCTTAAATGGATACTGTGACGATAACTAAGCATGTGGGTTTTAATAATTATTTGTCATGGATTTATCCTCTAAGGATTCCCTCAGTACATGTTCTACAAATACAGTACTGCACATGAAGAAATCCAGACCCGGTATAAATATACATAACATGCAAGTGAGCAGCCTCCGCATTTGGCATCAGATTCTGTGCATCCTGTTCTTGCATTTGAAAATAATATCATCTTGTGAACCTGGTTATTTACAGTAAAATGACCTTGGCAATTAGACTAATGTTACTTTAGAGAAATTGTATTCAGTCATTCAGCTCCAACACCCCATTTCCAATATATGCAAATCACCTCTTATTAAGAAATCAACAGGAACTGGAGTTGTGTGCGTATAATGCAAGGTTATAAGTCTAAAGCTATATCATTGCTATAGTTGTTTTTTGAGTACATTTTTTATGCACCAGCATTTCAAGCTGCACCACTTAGCTGTTCTGGAGTTTAGGAGGTGTCTAAATATTATATGCAAAAAGCAATGCAGATGTCTTTAGAAACAATTCCTCCGTGTCGTTATTTTCCAGCTTCCTCTAAACAGTTGCTGCCTTTATTCATGATATACAGTACATTGCCTAACTAAGACATGTTGCTAGTGAGAGAACCCCAAGGCAGAGATTATACAAAGAGTAAAAGATATGGCTAATTTTTGAAGACCCACATATAAAAAATTGAATATCCTTTGATGAAAGTTTATCACGTTAAGTAATTAAATTAGTGTTGGGGGCTCATTTCTCAGAACTGATCCGTTTCAGGCTTGATAATGATCAAGTGGCTTGGCAATAGCAATACATTTTCTAGTGTAAAAAGTAAAAAAAAAAACGATATGTGTGAGCAGAAAGCAGAGAATGTATACAGTTTGTCAATACCTGTTGGAAAGGGTTTGGTAGATTCGGGCTGCAGAACAAATAATAGTGAGCAACATCTGGAGGGTGAGAGAAATAAGGAGACAGGGAGATAGATTGTGTCTTAACATTCAGTAACATTCAAAGCTGGTATTTCTGCAGGTCTGTTTGTAGAGATACATTACCTGCAGTTAGAAAATCCTTGGTTTGGTTAACAATATACTTGTCTGGAGACACACAGAAGTCACTGGTGCCCTGTAAGAAAACAACAAACTGTTAACCGTAATCTAGCAAGTATGCGAGACAAAGAGAGCAGTATTTATTCAAGCCATGAACCAGATCCAACTTCTGATGCTATGAAGAAATCAAGCTGACCTGAAATGAAGAGGATCTCACCACAACTCAAACTATTTGTTTTACAACATTGTTCATTGCCATTTAACTCCCAAGAGAGTCTGTGAAATTCAAGTTTTCAAACAAATGCGTGCAATAAAGCAGCCTGGACACACACTCACACACACACACACACATACATATGAAGACATGTAAAGAGACCATCTATTGCTTTGATGACCAGAGAGGAAATCTACTAAATGTTAGCATGCTACTGAATGAATCCATGGAGACCTGCTAAAGTGCATGCATAAACAATAAGAGGTCAAGGTCACGCAGTGTCTGTGCACTTAGTCTTCCCTCGAACATAAAAGAAGGCAATAAAAAAGGGCAAATACCAAATAAACCTTTAATAATTCCTCAGTCGCATGCATAATTGAAAGTTGTGGATGATAACCAGCTGCTGTTCAAGTTGATCGTGTTCAAAAGGAATCAAGAAATTGCAATGCATCATCAAACATCAAAGACACACATCATTCGTGTCTATCGTGTCCAATGCATTTTCTGTCAGCCCCATATCAAAAAGGGGTTTTCTACAGAGTCTTGGTAGAGCACATATCAATGGACTTTACAAAGCAATTATTTAAATAAAAAACAAATGATTTGATAGTAGAAAATAGGATACAACAAAATAAAACATGGGAGTACAACTGTAAAGCTTCTTCAACTGTACCGCAACGAGTGTGTCAGGCCCTGTTAGTACATTACCCTTCATCTCTATCTCATTATACTAGCGGGGACATTTTGTTTATCGTCTCATCAGATATGTATACATTTATGAGCATTTTCTAGGACACCGCCATGCAGTTTTTCGAGTAATGATGTTGAGGTGAAACAAGTTTATTTCAATGTTTTGCATACTGTCCCATATTTAAAATGTTGTTTACTGATGAGTGTGTTCTTTGATAATCCACTTCTATGACGAGGCCTACCTATTAATAGCTAAACTGGTACTTTCTTTGAGCAAATGTACTAGAGATTACCTGTAAAGCAACAAACTGACCGTGTTAGAGAGAAGCAGGCTAGAGAAAAGATGTATTCGAATATAATGGTTTGAATGCAAGGTCATGTTAAACCATATTCTGAGACAGTGGTAATCCGCTTTGATTTACAGTGAACCAAACGAGATGTCTACTTTTCACGCCCACGTAGTTCATTTCAGGGTCAAATCAGCTTTCAACTGCTGCTTCTGGTTCATTCCCTCGTTCCCCTGTCTCACGCTAAACAGCTGTCCAGCTGTGAAATACTGTGGGATAACTCACAGATGGGATAATCTACAGGAGGCAAGGAGATCGAGGAGATAAGCTTGAGGAGATGGAGGAATGCTGGAAGCAAAGGGGTTCCTATTTAAACCCCAGACACAGAGCCCCTAATACGATCTCCATGTTAAGCCCAGATGTGCTGAACACATGGTGTACAGACAAATAGAGGAAAACAATCTGTCAGAAATAAGGAGTAGTGAAAGACAAATAGAGCTGAGCACGAGGAGGGATTTAAAGAAAGAAGAGCTAGCAATTAATGTTAGAAAAAGGTTTGTTTACAACGGTGCGGCTAAGGGTTGATAAACCCAAAACACCAGGGTCTTGTAATCAGCTTTACTGCATGACTGACCAGAGGAAAGCTCAGGCTGTGGACTTTAAAAACATGTACTAGACCAGGAAATATGTGCAAGAACATATTAATGTTGACAGTAAAACCCTTGTTGGGGAAGTTAAACATAAGAACCACCCTGCTCCACCATGAAAAGTGCATGGTTTTTAGCAAGTGAAGCAACATTTCTGAGAAAGAGATCTGGGAAAAAAAGACAGTGTTTTCTCACCACAGCTGTAGCAGTGCCCGCTCCCAAGGAGGCCCAGCTGAGGATCACAGACAGCACTACAAAAGCCATGATCCTGGAGGGAGAGAGATGGGGGTGACAGGGAAATAGAGAGACAAAGATGAAAAGACATAGGGAGAAGCAGAGGAATCAGCGTGCCTTTACACCAATGATATTCAGCTCTTTTTCACCTAGTTCATTTGATATATTCCTCGAATTGTTCGACAGAGGCCAAATTCACACTTTGTACTGGTGCACGTTAGACTAGACAATGCAGCCGGAATTACATTTGTTATGGGATGATATAAGTATAAATCAACTTATGACTTCAAGCTGAATTCAGTCGTCAGCCCTAGACTTATAAAAAAAAATATATTCTATTCAGATATAAGTTTGATTGGAGCAACATCATTGTTCAATAGAGGTCTCACAAGGCCACGATTAAAGATAATACTTTTTGAAGTCTGGGGACTTTCCCCATCTATGTATTTTGCAACATCTAAATTGGCTGCATTGTCTATAGTTGCTTTCTATTACTGTGCAAAGCGGCTGATCAAAAGCTGCCACAAGCTTTAGTTTGTCTGAAAAAAAGAAATATATATATATTTAAAAAAACACCCACTATGAATTTCTCCCTGACCATTGGCAGAAGCTAGAGGAAGTGCTGTGAATTAGAGGGAGATAAACCAGTAGAAAAGAGGGAATGGCCCCTTGATGGATGTAAAACGGTCTCTGTTCTCAGCTTTCTACTCGGACCTTCTTGAAAGCCCCAATTAAGTAGCCTGGGAGCACTTAATAATTTGTAAAGGGAGCGGACTCATCCTGCTTGTGCGATCAATAGGCATTAGTGAGACCCATCAGAGAGAGAAGTGAAGAGGGATCCTGGGCATCATCTGCTAACACTGACACGTAGGCTGCACTAAATTGGGCAAATGGGATGGGAAGTCTGGACTGTGGATTTGCTTGTCAGACATCCCTTTTGGTTTAAATGAATGGTTACAATTTCCTGAATCAAATGTTTCCCCTGCTAAACTTTCCATTTCTTTCAGAGCTTAAGGAGTCCAAATGTATTTTGTATTGTTTAGAGAAACAGACTACTGTGGTTTTGACTACACTACACTCACCAAACTGAACGATTTAATTGAGTGTATAATACAATAGTGGCCTTTAATTGTGTGAGGAAATAAAAGGCAAGTCACTGACGAGAAGAGTAAGGCCAGAGCCATTATCAGAGCTATTTGAGGATGTAATGCTATCGCTGGTGCTGTTAATGGAGTGACCTATACTGTATGGAGCCAGAGAGTCTGACTGTCTGTGATCCAGGCAGAGGCCAATGAGACAAGAGATGGACCACAATAGAACAAAGGTCCCAGGAAACAAGATGAAGGGCGAATACCTCCACACACGGTACTTACGTTATGAGCAGCCACCGAGACTGCTTGGCCATACCCAGACACATGGCCAAGCAGATGACCAGGTCAAGAATGAGCAGCAGCAGATAGGTGAGCCATCTATGAAACGTGAAAAATAAGCATCAGTCTAACAACCCTGACTGATTACCTTGGCTTGCATACTTCATGTAAAAGCCTCAGGAAGTTGCTGGCCAAACATATGTTGGGGACTGCATGCGTGAGGTCTGTAGTGGATATCAGCATTCTTGTCTCCTAGTTAGAGCCCATCTGTTTCAGGTCATTTCAAGCCTGTTGGCTTAATAATTCAACACCACAAATCCATAGGCATTAATTTTTCAAGCTCTGAAAATGTCCTTCACAGAAATTGCCTACAGTCAGCCTGGAGTGTGTGTGTGTGTGTGTGTGTGTGTGTGTGTGTGTGTGTGTGTGTGTGTGTGTGTGTGTGTGTGTGTGTGTGTGTTCTGACCAACCAAACATGTGGGAATGCTCATGACCCATTCTTAACTCCACAAGCTCTGCTGGCTTTGTGAATCTTTCAGCAATGACTGAGCAAAATACAGACAGTGATAATCAGGATCATACCAAGAGATACATTTTGAAGTGTACTGGCATGGACTTGCTGCAAAGTAGCTGCAGTATTGTAGTATACCTGTACACCAAGGTCACTAGATAATGTGATTCACTTATGGTATTTGAAAAACATGTGGAAGACAAAAAAAAGCAGCCTGGTTATTCCTCTGGTTACAGAGAAGGGCATAAGGATGAAGATAACTGAAAGAGACTACACTTTATCTACATAAACAGAACTGCAGCTAGTTTCTCTGAGCTCAGGGACGGGGAATAATTCAGAAATAGAAGAGATATGATATTGGAAAACAGAATAGTATCATTTTTCCCTTGTTCGAATAACATTGGGTTGGCCATAACACTTGCAGTTCATCAATCAGAGCTGCCACAGGCTGTTCATAGCTCAATAGCTGCATGAAATTCAATCAACACCCAGGAGATTGGTGTCACAATGCACAAAGTGACAACTGCAGTCCTAAATGGGATCGTGTGTCTTGATAGGATAGAACAGCATATCATCTGGGAATATGTATGCATGGGATTAATGATATGAAAACGTCAGTAAGAACACACTAGCTGTGATACAACTGTGGCTATTTGTGCTCTGTCATGCAACGAGTCACTGCCACTTGCTATTACTCTAGCTGCTTTTATAACAAGTCAAAAAAGAAAACGCAGGTACATGGAGGAGAAATCCTGAATCCAGTCAACATTTAAATGGTCAAATAGACAAATATATAAAACAACATTGAAAAATCTAACTGGAATGAGGTCGCAGTATTGATACAAAACACTTTGGTATTCAGTGTGTTTCAGCATGACAGCTTTACACTTTGAAATGTGTTTATCAAATCAAATCAGGTTTTATTTATATAGCACATTTAAAAGCGATTTTTGGTCGAGCCAAAGTGCTGTACATGTAATAAAAACACATTACTACAAATCACAATAAACGACAATAAATTACAACAGATATATCTTAAAAACAAAGTAAAAATAAAACACACAGAAAAGTCAGGAGTCGTGCTCCGCTCTAACTAGAAAGCCAGAGAGAAGAAGTGTGTTTTTAGTTTAGATTTAAAAACCCCTAGGGTCTGGGCCGACCTCACATGGAGGGGCAGAGTGTTCCAGAGCCTAGGGCCAGCTGCTGCGAAGGCTCGGTGCCCTCGGGTTTTTAGCCTGGTCTTGGGCACTATTTATATTATATCTGCAACCTGCTGGCTTGACCAACATCATAACATCATCTCAGATTTTTACAGAACTTGCCAAAACATACATGCAGATAAGAACTGTTCCCCGATTAATTTTGTGTCTTGAATGTATATCAAACAAATTCTTTTTGCAGAAAGCACTGCCCTAAATATATCTTTGTGAGTCTTCCTTTCCAGTTTAGTCCAAAATACTCTTCAGTACTGTAACAAACAGGTTGCAAAATGACACTTCACGGCATAACAACACTATGAAGTTTTATGTGCTAAAGAATAAAACCTAAGCTTTAAAATTACACTCACAGTTTAGAGCAGCAGCCTGGAGCCTAATAAATTATCATCGTATCCTGAATTAATGCTGGATATTTTATTCATTTTGACTACTTTGTTGTTGATTGGGTTTATGAATTTATTTTGCTCTGTTTATTGAATTTCAGTTTTTGCCTCTCAATAAATGTTCACAGTTCCAGAACCAAGTGAAAAAAACATCAACATAATAATTGCAATCAATGCAAGCAGTGATCTGCGGGTAAGATGATCATTTATGGTCGAATAGCGACTCTGCCATGCATAACATTCTGTGAGAACATAAAGCTCAAACTTCACAGTGGCCAATAAGCTCCATTTCAGCTGTCATTTATTCAGCAATCAGGAGAAAATAGCTTTCCGGTTTGTGTTCCAGAGGGAGGATCAATAAAATTCAATCTGCTCCGTCTGGTCTGGATCACTTATAGTTGCGTGCTTAGAGGTATGTTTACTTCCCACAGTCACTGAGGAAATAAAATACTGTTAATTACCCCGCAGTGGTAACTAAGGCTCCACCTACCTGTAATACTCAACAAGGGCTGTTTGGTCTGCAATGGCTGCCAAGTCAACATTGGCTTTGTTGATATCGGGCAGAGCCATCATCTCGTGGATGACGTTGTTGACCATTAACTGCATGAAGCGCAGAGAATTGAGGAATTCGGACTTTGCGGCAAAGATTTCATCAAGTCGTTCCAGGTGCTGCTTGAGTCCAGTTTGAACATTGCCCAGGGTTCCTGTAACCTAGAAAATAAAATAAAGATAAGAGAATTGAATCAAAAAAGCAATAGTGGTAAAAGATTAAAGAAGTAGGGGAGGTGAAGAGAAGTCAGAGGAAAAACAGGTCAGAAGGAAACAGGAACATAAATAAATTCATAAACGGATATTCATAAAAAGAAGATTGAAAATATGGAGAAAGGCAAAAAGAAACCATGAGCACTCCCCCAAGAGAAGATTAACTTTTCTCCTCAACCATGTGTTTTATTCAGGTAAACAATGTTAGAGTGGAATGCTGATAACAATACCGGGGAGACCTGTTATCACAGGGGTCTTTGATAGTGAGAGAAGTGTGGGAGGAGGCCCGGTGGAGTAAAGGAAATACATTTGACTTTTCAGCTTGAACCGGGACAATGTGATGCAGTAAACGCCTGCATTTTCACAGCATCAAGGGAGCTACAAACAGGTCATGTTTAGCCTGATGCTGACAGGGGGAAATTGTTTCTCCACCGTAGACACGTTTTTTTTTTTTAAAACAAAGACACAATAGCTTGACCCACTTACAGATAAAAAGTGGGCGTTATATCTGCAATCATCTCTGCAAATGTGAACAAAAAGGAAAAAATATCTGCTTGAAACCTGCCGTCATTCCAACATTGATTAATAGGTCTTTCAATACAAGGACGAACATTGAACTATTGGACCCAGCTAAGATTTTAAGAGTTGGTTTAATATTTGTCAAAACCTAAATGTATGTAGTTTGCATAAAGAACAGTTCTACATCTTGGGAAATATAAGTAGTTTAGACGAGAACATAACCAATTGGAAAATGCAACATTTACTGTATGTTTATACATTATTTTAAGCAAAAGAAGAGATTATGTTAATTTTGAGTTGTAGAAAAGCAACAGGGGGGTAGATTTTCTTACATTTAAAAATTCCAATGACCTGTTTTTAGTGTTTGTGCTAAACTAAGCAAACCCACTGCTAGCTGTAGACTTGCAGTCAACTGAACATTCTCATCCAGACAGTGAATAAGCATATTTCCCAAACCGTTTAATTATTCCTGTAAGGGAGTAGAATTTGAATTAAATAGCCATAACATCAACAACGTATGTCCAGAAAAGTGTAGTTGTGTTGTTGGACCTCTTAAAATCAGCATTCACCAAATTGTCCTCTGACGCACACCCACCACCCACAGCACATTGACTTAGCTAGAACAGTATTTTTAACATTACACCGAGTAGGAGGCTCCACTTATTCTGAACAGATGTCGCTTTCCTTTATTCTAATCTAAAGCAGTTTGCAGGAGTTTCACTTCTTATTTAAATATCATTTTTTCTCCATTACAACTGTGACCTCTTAAACACACTTAAGTATTCTGAGTAAGAATGTTAATTTCTACACGATGAAAACTCACCAGAAAGAATATAAAAATGTATTTCAGTCTCCTTGACACTTTAACATTTCAAATACAGTCATATATTAATTATAAAGAATCTAATGGTCTGTGAGGAAGAAAGAGTATCCATGTGAAGATGAGACAAAGACAGAGGCCCATCCTCCACTCCAAAACTCCCAGGGGGGTTATGAGATTGCCAGTAAACTGCTCTCACTCCCCACTTCTATGTTCATCATCTCTCACAGCTCCTGCCACAACTCCCCGAATCTTATCTGGAAGCCACTCTGCCTGGGTGTGAGAAATGGGAACCGTCAGCTATCTGCTCTGGTTGATTTCCACATTTTCCTAATCTGAACCGTCCCGTCTTCTCTTAAAATGGATTAAAGCTCACTTTTGCTGAAAGAGGGTCACCACGTTGGGCACGCCTGTTAAATGAAACTGACTGATTTGAGACTCACAGCTGTAGCACTCCAAGAGCCAATTCACATACAACTGAACTTTCCTGCCTTCAGTGGTTTTATGTATCTGGATTTTACTGTATATACAAAAAAAAAATCAACATGTATATTTTCTACTTTTTGTTATTGCTATTTAGATGTTGACAATTTTAAATGTTTATTTCTTGTCTTTTAATTGTATTGTACAATGCCAGGTCTTTTTATGCTGCTGCAACACAAACATGTCCCAACTTGGGATCAATAAATCCTATCTTATAAAACAATATTTATATCAAATATATAAAACACAACATATATACTGTATGTATGATCCAGAGGTAACAATTAAGCAAAATGAGAATAAGGACTCTGAGAACATTCATTCAGGTGATCTAATGTGGAAAGTGCAGAAAGTAGTAATCATTTTGTTCGAAGAATCACAAGACAGCTTTCACAGAGGAAGGCTGTATGAAAGGGTCTGTAAAATTGGAAGTGCACATTCTGTTATAGCGTGATGGCCATGTGTCCTCATACTTCCGGGCAGAGCTGACGAGCTCTTAATATTGCAAGCAGCACACTGGATATAAAGCTCTGATAAAGGATGCCTGTGAACAATCAAAAGCCTCCTTCAATAGCAAGAGACACAATGGCTCTTCCTGATCACATCTTTCCCTGTATGACACATGATGATCCCACGCAGAGTGTGAGAGTGCATATTTTATGATGAGAACAACCTTAACAAGCCATCAGTAGTGCCAAACAGCTCGGAGTGTAAACCTCGCAGGAGCCTCGTGAATCAGAGAGATTTGATTGCTTTTGTGCCTTTAGTATGTATTTTACTGGACAAATCTTAAATCAACCTGCGTATAAAATTCAAGAAAGGATATTAACGCATGAAGATAAAGTAAACTTCTGAAGTTATTACTTTTGAAACAACTTAAGAGGAGCACACATCAATGATCAAGAACGGATTTGGTATACCAATGAGGATCAGTGATTACTGTCTCGATCACAAACTAAAGCAGCTTTGGCTTCATGGGATGCACAGCCGGCCAGCTCATCAGCTCTTTAAGTGGAGTGCATTACATGAGGCTATGATCTTGTAAGTGAGAAAGCCTGTGTTTCCCTTGGGAACATATATGTTTCTCAGGCAGCTATAGTATACATCATGCTACAGGGGCAAATCAATATCGAGATACAGCAGAGAAAGTCGGAAGCAAGGATGTGAAATCATCAGAGCTGAATCCCATTTAGTTCCTACAAGCGCAAAGAAAACGCTGTGCTGCAAACTACACCCCTTTCCCAGCTTAGTTGTTACACTCAGCTGAAACTAATGCAGTCCAATACAAGCGAAACTGCTTCAGAGAGGTCTTGATTCAACTTTACGGTCCTTTTGGAGGATGGAGTTTGCAATGCTGCCGAGTTATATTGAAATATGCTGTATACTGCTTTTAATGTTTTATTCACTGAATTTATATCAACAAGGGGAGGGTAAACAGATGTTCCAAAACGACCATAAAGTTCAATCAACACCTCTCTAAACAACACTTCCAACAAAAACGGAACATGATAACCCTCATGATAGGGAGATTTGTTGCAGGATGATAATGAACTGGAAACTAATTGTATATTTCATAAAAATACCCATCATAAATGTAACGGTTGTAATACACAAATCAATGTGTAACATGGGATACATCTAATTCTCATACACACCGAATGTACACAAAGCTGTTTGAGTGTTATACAATATGTTTGCATAGAAGTGGATGTGTGAATGTGACATGGCCTTACACACACACACACACACACACGCACACGCACACGCACACATACATACAGTACAGAGTGTAACACTGGGAGATTGGGAAGAGGCGAGGCTTAGCATCCATTAATGCACTGCAGATGGAGTTAATCCTCTTCTTCCTCATTGAGATTATCGCTTCTCGCAGAGCCTTGTTCTGACTCCCTATTTCCTCCTCCCACCCTAAGTCTCCCAAATAACTTCCCTGAATGCAGGTCAGGAGTTGTATAGCAAGAATCCCCATTTACAAATCCTGAGGCAGCAGTCACCTCAATTCCTTCGCTGTGACAAAAGCGGATATGGACCCCCCGCGGTGAAGTGCTAGCTTTCGAGACAGATGCAGACTCCATTAGTAAAGGAGGGTGTCTACCAGCAGCAATTCATTGTTCTCAAGTAGAGCCATGAAAAGGTCATGCTTTGCACCATCATGGCTAATAAACAATGCTGGTAAATGAAAACCTTCACAATAAGGAAGCATATGACAAGCACAGCTAAATAATGTTACACTAACATACTGGATTTATTGCCCAGTAACCACACTAAACCGACTGGAAAATGATTTAACTGTAAGGGATATAAATACAAATATTTTCAGCGAACACATCGGAAATTTGGATGCTGAGGGTTGAAGGTTGAAGAAAGCTTGGCATGCTCCTCTCACCAGATTGTTGATGCCACCCAATGTGTGATTGGCATTGGAGAGCGAGTAGGTCAGCTGGTACACCCCGTCGTTGGTCTCACTGTTTCCATAGAAACCCACTCCCACAGCCGAACTGTGAAAAAAAAAATAGAGTTTCAGATTTAATGAATACAATAAACATAATTAATTCCCTGTTTGTTTTATCACAGCAGTTATTGGTAAAAGGCTTCTGTAGGTTATAAGAGGAGAAGAAAGAAAGAAATATCATAATTTACCAAACGGGAGACATTAAAGCTTAATATGAATCATACTACTAATATAAATATAAATATAAAGACTTTGTATTATCATCTTCTTGCTACCCTTGAACCTTTAGTATTGTACAATCACAGTTCAAAGCATGATCCTGGCAACTGGAAAGTGTTAAACAAACGTATTGATAAATGAATCATCTTCAGTTAAGACATACAGTAAGAAAAAAAAATGAAGGTTGCAGTCTTAGAACATTCTCCTGTGCCATTTCCGACACTCATCTCTTCCTCCTGGCTGCCACATGCATTGAAGCTGATATGTGAAAAACAACATGTTTGTATTTGTCATATTACTTCCACCTGTTTTACCCCTTTCTCTCTAACCCAAATTCTGAGCTAAAAATATAAAATCTTCTCTTTTTCGGTAGTATCTTTGAATATTTGATTTCAGATTTCTGTTTGACACCTGAAAATGTATCGGAGGGAATGCAAAGGACCCCCATTTCCCAGCTTCCCGCAGTGTGTGACTTTTCAGAGCCTCTGTAATAGGGAGGATTAGTGTCCTCACCCGCAGAGTCAGTGTAGCAGTCCACCGTGACACAGTGACATGAGCAATGATACAATTTAATCATACTTTATTGCAGTAAGGTCACTCGACATGGGGGTCGGGGGTTAGTAACACTTTTAACAGCATTTAGGGGAATGTTCAATCGCTAGAGAGGGGAGCTCATCGATCAAGCTTAGCAGTCAGAGCAGGATTATTGTTTCTGGTTCACAACATGCACACACACACAGACACAATAAAAAGGAAAACTTCGTCCAAGTTTACTTTTACAATGACTCATAAGCTGATGACTTTGAACACCACGTGCTGCAAAACCACAAAAATCATACACAATATCCAGGGAGACAAACATCCTCCGCAGTGAGACAAAGACAACAAAGACGTTAGTCACTGAAAGAGAGGACGGGGAGTTTTCATCTTTTAATACATCCTGTCAGGGTGTGTGTGATATGTCACTGCGAGTGCTTATTAACATAGGTGTGTGTTTCTTTTTAGGGCCATTAGCATCCTGTCACTGTAACCTTGTAAGCATAATGAAAACCATGGCCTGTGTCTAATCTATTTAACTAGTTCCCTCTGGGTATGATTAGTGTCACTGGGGGCGTTCTTTCTACAATTAAGTCAAAGAGAAATACAAGATAATCCACAACAGCATTTATTATATATGTATCATTCAACAGGAAAGAGAAAGATTGCTCTATTATTTTACATTTTCAATACACTTTTTTTGTAGTATATCTAAGTAGACCTGGATAATGAGATGTTCATCAACTATGTGGCCAACCTAGTGACATGTTTGCGACAAAAAATACCTACTAATGACACAGGTCATCATGGGTTTAGCCTCCAGGGTAGCATTTAGTGATCTTGTGGGCTTCCTAAAAGGCTGTCTGTAGCAGCTAGAGGTGTAATAAGAAAGCAACACAATAAACAAAAGGACTAAGGCATATGTGCACTCTAGGATATATAGTGCCTTTGTTTCTCTGAGGATGGATCACTTCACAGTCTGTGTGATGACTGGACCGTTGCATCTTAGTATTCAAAACGTGTTGCAAGCAGAACGAATGGCCACAGTGGATGAACAAGTAATAACAGATAAATTCCTTGATTCTGTGGAGACCGGTGTATTGCCGCAATAATAAATTGTATCAGGGTTAACGGAAACCGACTGAGGCAAGAAGGATTTTAGAATATTAGATTTGTTTGCCATCTTTAACCTTAATTTACCCATATTCATTCTCCCGGGTTCAGAAGTAATCATCCAAAGAGGTGCCACGCCTCTTAAATCCTTCTCCTATTGAGTTCTGTTCTAGTGCGACTGAGATGTAATTTTGACATTACTGTATCACGCTGAAAAGGCTGGAAAAAGTAAAAGAGGTGATAATGATAAAAAATGTCATCTTTTTTAAAAAGACATGAAAGTTTGTCTATACTAAACGTTCCATGTCTGTGCATAATAAAATAACTATAAATACATATTTAAAGTCAAATGCCAATTCTTGTTTTAAATCGATCTCTTAGTGTACAAAGCCCCTTTGATCCAGTGTAGTATAAGCCTTCATAAATGTCTAAAAGCATATTTTCAATTACGCTGCTGAAGCACAACACTTCAAAAAGTATAAAAGTATAAAAATATGTCAAAGGAACCACTTCACAATCCCAAGCTAAGGACTGTAGGAGACTCTATTCTCAGAACCATGTTCCAAGGTTTTGGATGGGTCAGCGTGACATGATTGTTCAATAGAATCTGTATTCTACAAATATTCTCGTTGCCATCAAGAACAGGTCAGCGGGACATGAGAGTTTAGAGGAACAAAGATTGGATCTGTGTGCAGAGAAAGTGTGTGACACTGGCCCATTCCAGTGCTTGGAACGGTTTCAAACTAAGACCAAAATAATCATCAGGATGAATAGGCAGTCAGGAGAGGGAAAAGCATTATGTGTGTGATATTTGTATAATCAAGGTGGTCTTGGCATTGTTGCCGTGTTGTAACATATTTGACACTTTAATAAAACTAAGACCCGTCGGCTTCAGATCTGCCTCTCGTCTCATCCTTTCTCGCCACAACAGGACAAAATGGTGTTATCAGGGGGAGCAGGCGATACTGAAACGCTTCTACAGAGAGAGACATGGGAGCTCTGAGCAGAGACTAGATGACAGAGCTTCTTTGCTAAACAACATCATGCCTAGTCACTTAACAACACAACAGGCCTCGTGTGCTGTAGCAGCAGCTTGGTATGGACGCAGCACACTAACAACGTTAAAACCCAACACTTAGATGACTGTCACAAGTTTAAACGGAACTGTGCACAAATTCAATCAAGCCTTTTTGGATGCTGATTTGTTCTCTTACTTTTCTGACATGATCATGTTTGACTAGGAATATTTTATCATTAGCAAAAGTTAAATTATCCATCACAGCTAAACTAAGATATCAGAATCAGAATATCTATATAATAGTCCCACATATGGGAAAAGTACAATAGATACTACAGAATACAACATGTGGCAATATGACAATTTGGTACATAGAGAAAGCACAATAACAGTACAGTAGGTACATTTTAAGGCAGGAGCATTGTGGTTTGCTAGAGCTTTTCAATGGACCAATCCATGCAATTAGCGGTCGATGTTTTGGTGGGCATGGTCATCTGAACAGTCAGCTGAGGGATTTAGCAGTCTGATCACCTAACTCTCAGCTGACCAGGGGCCCTGCTGATAATGTGGCCTGTCAGAAATACTCCAGTGTATCTAGCCTCATCAGTATTCTTTAGAAAGAACGAGATAAACCTTCGGGTTACAAGCAACAAGTGCACATTAGCACTCTTTGTTATAGCCTTTTAGACTGAAAAGTCTTAGGGAACATACAGCAGATAGGTCCCAAGTCATTTGACTCATATTTGAATTTGAGAATCATTTTCTGTGACAGTCAAATGCTTTGTCCAAGTAAACATAGATAGTCAATCAAACCATTAGTTACTCTCGTCCCTCTTCCTGAATGTCCGGATGACATTTTCGCAGGTTTTTAACAAAGAAAATGAGTGAATTGACCAAATAAAATCCCCCTAAAGTAAAACACAGCTTTCAGGTTGTTCATGATGATATGTTCAGTCACTAATCAGAGTTTAGTCGCACAAGAAACATTGAATTATTTAACCATTCAGACTCACCATATGATGAGTCCTGTGATGACAGCAGACCAGGTGAGACAGCAGGTATTAGGCCCTTTGGTTTCTTCATCTATATCCTTGCGGCAGCAACACAGACAGACCAGGAATACTGCCAGAACCAGCAGGCTCAGACCCAGACCCACGGCACCAACAGAGGCTAGAAATATCAGAGACTGGGGCAGGAGAGTGGAGAATGAAAAGAGGGAAAATACCAAAAGAATTACATCGATTAAAGTCAAGACTCAGAACCTATTATATCTTTAAAGAGGCAGCCATCTGTTATGTGTGATCTTGAGATGTCGGGCTGGGTGACCCTGCTAGCCAAAAGGTTGACAGCCTGATTGAAAACAAGCCACCAGTATCAAACAACACTCATGAGTAAAGATATTGTTGAGGTAAGCGTGTAGCTGCCATTGATCAACATCACAACTGACTGCTGCCTACAGCAAAGGGGACAGAAAAAATAGAAGTCTGAGGACTTGTGGGGAGGACAGCCAATGGAGAATGTTGATTTTACTGCAACAGCAGAACTTGGACTGTGGCTAAGAGCAAAACAGAAAACTATCCAAGGCTGTGGGAGGGGAGAATCATGTGACACAATGGCTTTCATTCAGTCTTGTGATTTCTGAGTGTAAAAAATATTCAAAGCCTGAAGGATCTGAAACACTGATGTTCAAAAAGCAGAACACGTTGTATTGGCACAGTATGTATATGGAAACTCTGCACAAAAAAATACTCTGTAAAAAGAGACTCACTATTTTATGATAAATCCCTATGGTCTTTTGATTTGTTTTATTCTCTGAAGAGCTGCTACTTTTATCACTACATAGAGAGTAAAGAAATACAGAACTGGCAGTATGCTTAAAAGCAGACAAAAACTTCATTGTTTATTAGCATCACATTTTACCAGGGGGAATATTTGTAGTTTCACACCAATGACGTTTGATTTCTCACAGACATGTCATATGACTATTTAGTCATGGTTTACCAAAGCTTATTTCCCACGGCATTGAAAGCTATCTTAAGGCAGAGCACACAGCAAGGTATTTTTGTCTTTACAAAAGCCTCATAAAGCAAATCCCAAACCATTTAAAATATGTTTAAACTGCTGCACAAACATTGGTATTGGAACCAAAAAAATCCCAACTGGGGCTCTCCAAAGGTGATGATCAACACTAAGAACATTTAATCTAGTGGGCTCAAACTCAAAACATTGAGCTCATGGTTAGTTCAAAAACAAGAAAAAAGGCATGACCTCAATTTTAATTGCAAATCATTTGGACTCATGTTTTAGCACTCACAAGTTCAGAAAGACTGGGTCTGGCTGAAAAAGCAAAGCTACTTTTCTCGACTACGTCTGTGACTAATTATTCCATTTGGATGACATTGACACTGTGACTGAATTTCAATGATATTATTTAGCATATTCTTTGCATAGTACTTCATTGTTCAATTTCTGTTTCAAATGTGCTGAGCCCTCTTCTGCCCTTATTCATCAGGTAGGTTAGCAATAAGTGTATTCCAATTCGAAATGGGGTCATCAGACTTTATAGCTGAGGTAGACTGACATATAAACAGGGCTCAGGAAAAACAAACAGTAATATATACTATCGCTAGCATGGTAATTTATTTTCAAAGCAAGGTTGACAGCCTGATTAAAAACAAGCCACCAGTATCAACCAACACTGAACAAAAATATTGTTGAGGTAAGCGTTTAGCTACTATTGATCAACATCATCACTACTGACTGCTGCCTTCAGCAAACAGGATAGAAACATAAAAGTTTGAGGTCTTGGGGGAAATACAGCTAATGGAGAATGTTGATTTTGAATACATGCCAATCATGCATTGCACGCATTGCAGATTCAATGTTATTGCAAAGACAAAAAAACAACTTGATGTAACATTTGTTGCACCTCGAATTAAACGAGTCGATACAGAAAGGTGCAAGTTGAGATGCCCTCCATTAACTACCCAGGCCAAAGCCTTAATCCAATGATTTGCTAATCATGTCTTTTTGAGGACAACATTGATAAGCCAAGATTCGCAATGTGTACATTAAACAGTTTCAATCTTGGTTAGATTTACGGCTAGTTCCACTTTCTCCTTTAATTTTCCACCCCATTGTTTTGTAATTAGACATGCAGGCACTTCAATTTCCTCATGCTGCAGTGTTATGGCGAGGCAAAGGATGAATGAGAGGGAGGAGGAAAGAGAGATTGAAAACTACTAGTGTATGCGGTCATTGACAGGAAGGTCATTGATCTTTCTTATCCCAAATAGATTTTTGTATAAAGTAGGTTTAAGTATGTATGACTATCTAATTAACTAAAAAGTAAAGACCAAATCTTAGGAAATGTGTCTCTAGCTGCTCTGCACACTACTGTACCCTCTAAAGTCAACAGATCAGCATCAAATGCAGAACATGAGTTATTTCAGGCTTGTGGGCCTGTGTGAGCCCTAGGCTACCTACAGTGATGCTACCATAGCATTCTTCACTCCTCACTGACTGGCACTCTGAGCCAGGGTGACACTGCTGGGATTCAATGACCCACCCAGACCCTGAATCATGAGAAGAGAGAACAGTGAAGGACACAAGACAGATATTTGAGAATCTTGGCATTCATGTTTTTTGGAAAGGGTTTTTGTAATATATCATCATAGACAATAAAGGGTGTGTGTAGTCAGTCTTACCATGAAATCAGTATAGAACATTTCCTTCATACAGTAAACCAATATGTCTACATTTTTTCTAAATTATATTTGGAAACAGCATTATCTGTCATGCAAGAAATTAACCAAAGTGTTTTGTTGAAATAAATAAAATAATGCAGTATTGATAGTGTTGCTCATAAGAACTTGATTACTGATGTTTAGTTAAATATATGCCTATCAGTCCATGCTGTTGTAAAATGATGTGACGTTTTTGTATTGAAATATAATAAAATAATAATGTGAGAATTAGTCCAAGTACTTTGTAGACAACAACACATCTAGATTATAAAAAAGAGTTACACTGACAAAAAGAGAAGAAAATGAAGTCCATAACATAAAGGCATGATATTACAGGAATAATAAAGTAATGGACTGAAGATATAAAATGATGGCAACAACAGAGCATGAGCATTCTTTTTTTTACTCTACCACACACCCCATTTTTTGCTATAATGACTCTGGTCCTGCTGCCCACAGTCAGTTCCCATCACTAAACATGACAGTTTGGGTCATGTACATGGCCACAAAAGGCCATAAATGTACTCTGGGCAAATTGAAATACTTAATTTGAGAAATAACGTTTTTACACTGGAAAAATATGTCTCACAGGATTCATTCTCTCTTAAAATACAATCATGAAAATGATTTGTGAGAAAAGGAAAAGCAACAACCATTTTTAACAGGGAATGTGTTGTTTGTTGTGATAGAATGGGCAATCATCTATGTTTTTATGTATGGGTGCATGAAAAAGTGCCTGGAATATAGTTGAGGTAATAAACATGATAGCTGAGTGTTCAAGAGAAATAAAGAGTTAGCTTGTTAAAAAACAAACATCTCGTTTATCTCAAATCAGAGTGCACAAACGTACAGTATGCAACTGTTTACCTGAAATATGTCACAGGCCAGTTAATACAGGTCATGTGTCATCATGTGAGAACTGCAGTAGTGTATGGGATTTGACTTCCTGACATTGGGACCAAAACTCTCAACATTTCAAGGAGCATCACAGAGAAAAAGTACAAAATAGCTAGTTATTTTTTCGAAAACTACCAGCACTTTTACGCGCAAGTATAGTTACCAACCTGCTGATAGCTTGCCTCCTCCGGTTTAAAAGTGTTGTCTATCGACTGGAAAAAGAAATTGAAGTGAGGGAAATTGTGCAGCCAGTATGTCCACCACGGGGCTACGTAATCGAGCCGTGCAGTGGCCATTCCTGCTTAAAAAGTCTGTCCCACTGACTGTGTGCTTTCTTGTCACTCAAAAACTTCCAGGTTTTTGATAAATTAAAAAACAAAACCCACGTGACTTCAGTAGCGGAAACACACGCCACAGAGCATTAAATAGGAAGCTCTTCCTTTGCCATTGCATCTCCAGAACAGGGCAGATTTCCACTTCTTCCTACTCCGGTTGCCATAGTTCGCTGTAAACTGCAGTAGCACAACTGCTAAAACATACACAGCTTCAGTGTAGGCCAAGCGTCTCTATCCGAGACACGGGATCGAGTGACGATTTGAACCTGCCTGGTTTATTATACATCCATGGGTTTATCCAGAGTAGGCGTGACACAACCACTTTCAGTCAAGTGGGCAAGGCCACAGTGTATTCTCTAAATTATGAAAACGCAAACACTGTTATGTGAACAATCTGCACTGAAAATAATGTGTGGGGAGAATCTCTCAGCAGCTGCAAACAGAAAAATAAAAATAATCAGACACCAAAGACTTGCCGATGACACTGCATGAATCCCAATGGCCTGTGCCCACTTCTCAACATTTGATTTTTTTTAACGAGGAAATCTCAATATTTTTCATAAAACAATAATACTCAGTCGCATAAAATGTGAAAAAGCTCTGCTCTCTGGCCTCGACTTGCAGCAGCTCTTATTTTTACCGTACAGAGGTAGGGGTATTTAATGCACTATTTATGGCTATTGCTGTTAATGTCTGACCTCTTGTGGACAATGAGGCGCACTGAGGTGAACATTAATGAGCATGGTAATGAGATGCTGCAGTTAGCGGTACAGTATGTTGGCTTTTATGCTTTCATTTATTTACAGTCGAATGCTTTACTTCAGCGATAATGGTAGAATTAACACATCAGAATCAACGCTCTGACTGTAATAACTGCCCAGGGATTTATGTTGGTGTACAGAGACTCACTTAGCTACAACACAAGCAGGGTAATGTGACTTGTTTTAAACAACCTATGCACACAGTTAACGGCTGCAGTACAGGAATAAATGATGATATCAATATGCGAACTCATGCAAATGGTTATAGATGTAGAGTCATTGCAGTACAACTGTATGAGAGAATGGTTCTGTAGTACATGGGAAAATATAGGAGTTGGCTTAGACCTTAGCCTACACTGGATACATGAGTTTTTAAATGTTGAAAACCATGGGAAAACAACTAGTAGCATGAGTGAGCATAACGTGAGTAAGAAACAACTGATAGGAAGACCCTGCTGGTGGAGAAAAGTTCACAACCCCCCAAAATGAAGGGCAGTAATATACATTTGTGTAAGCTATTTCATATATATTGTCCAACTTCTTTGAGATTGAGAAAATGTACAATGGAGAACAATGGAAACCAGAGCAGATTTAACTGAAATAAAGATGGAACAGAACAGACCCTACTGGACATTACCCTCACTCAATTGTGTAGATATAAAGTCTTGGGTAATAATCAACCAAATAAAATGAAATAGTCTATTGGCAGAAAATGTTCCACAGGCAGATAAAACAGAAGTTGAACGTTTTTCATTTTACATTTTGTCCCGAGGAGGAGTTGTTTTATCTACATAGTGTGCCGAGCAGTTTCCTTGCAAGCTAAACCATCTTGATATCATATGGCTGATGTAATTATTTGGATGCTTTGATGCACCTCCACGGACAGGGTGCCAACACAGTGTGCTGTGAGTCTGAATACTCTGAGTAGGTATACTTGAAATACACCAGATGAATATGAATTCACGTCTGTGCTCTGCTTTCACAAACAGTTGGATTTGGTGCCAGAAAACTCTACAGTGATTGCAGTGCCAATCACTCTCAGTGTTTAATCCAAGGGACCAATGTGAAAAAGAGAATTACATGAATTACTGTTCCTCTGTCTGTGCCTCACTAATTCAGGCCACATGTTTCAAGCCCCTTTTCCCACTGTTCATTTATTCTTGTTATCTCAGTGCAGACAAAAGATGTTAGACCCACAAATCACATTGAGGCTAGTTTAAACTAGTACCCTAAGGATATATGTAGTTAAGCCACAAAGTCCACTGCAGTCTTATTATTAATACTTGCATGCGGCGAGTGCAATTTTAAGTCTGAGTCTCATTAAACTCATCCATGTAAATGTACCTTTGTTAACCAAATATTCACCAATACTGCTGGGGTTTGGCAGTAGAGGATTTACTATGAAATGTAGTTGCGGAAGCTTAAAGGGCTTCGGATTAAACCCACCACCAATTAGGAAATGGTTTAAATGTCCATGCATCTTCTCCCTGCACAGAACAAGAAGCTGCACCATTAGGTGGCAGCCCAGCACTTTTATGTAATGCCGAGAACCTCTTGTTCTACTGTATACTCTCCAAAGGATGTGTATCTGTGAAGGAAAAAAATCTCAACCCATCATCATTGCACAGAGCCCCTTTGAGTGTAATACTAGCCATAAAGTGAGATCTAATCTTAATGAACACTGGCTGATAGATCCGATCCGCTACTCTCTAGGAATAGTCTCTAGGGTCAGCAGTTTGTGCATTGATGTTACAAAAAGGAAATACATATCAAAGAGTACTTTGATGTCAAGTAACTTAGACCGCGCAGTAGACCTCAAAGTGGGCAGTGGAGGAATAAAGTCATATAGTGAGTGACTCAAGTCTCAAGGTCGGTAGTGCTCCAACAGCTCTATTGGAATGTTTAACATAATACAAAACCTGCTGAATTTAAAATTGTTAGCCAATATTCCATAAGGAGCAGGTGAGCTTCTTTTCAGTGTGCCACAATATTTCAACTACAGCTGACTGAGAATGCCTTGAGATTAATGTCACACCCCTCTCTTGAATTACAGAAAGTCCTTTAAACCGTTTTTTTCACAAAGTGTAGAATAAGACATGCATGAGCTGCCTTGTAACATCCAGACACCAGTTGGCTATGTGATGTGATTTACGGGTTATATTTTCATGAAAAAGGAGGAAAAAAATACTCTTCACACAGTCCCTGTCATATAGTTGCATCTTCTTCATCATGTGCTCAAGTGTCCTCAACCATCGCTGGATTTAACTCCTGATTGACTGTCTTCATAACAATCAAAGGGATGATTGGTTCATTTAAACGTGTTTTGAAGAGCCTCATGTCTACTTCCTACACGACTGTGCTCCTTTCAAGCCTTAACAGTTACTGCTCAGTGGAATGTGGAAATGTGTTGTGTTGGACTTTTCCTCCTTCATGGTTATTGCTTTTTTGGATTTGTGACTCAAATCCCCCTGCTCTATTTTGAGTGATTTATACATAGGAATCAAGATTTATGCCTGAGAGCTCAATGTGCCAGTATTATCCAATCAAACTGTGCTGCTCAGTGACTCCTGAGATTGCATTAAAGTGTAATATCAATGCAGCAATCCTCGGGATATTGCCACTTTGAAATACCCACTGTCCCTCCGATGCTATAGTTATGATCAAGGAGATTTGTCAATTTAGGTAAGGTTTTATGTAGGAGATTGCTTCGGTAGATTAAAGAAAAGTCGCCTACCATATTTAATCTATTTTTTTTAATGCATTGTGATAAAAAATGAAATGTCAAAGCAGAATATGAACAAGAGGGGAATATCCAAATCAGAACATATACATATGTATACATATTTCCTCAATATTCAATGGCTTGCAAAATTGCAAAGATTATTTGTTGACATGAGCTACTATCTCCAAAAAGTGACAAAATGACCAAGGCTCAGCAAGCACTTTCTGTGGAGCTGAGAGATATAGAAAGACAATTTATCGTTTAATACAAACCATTAGAGGTTTTGTTCAGAGCCTGTACACACATTTAAGGAACATACATTAAAGTAACATAGCTGCAAGAAGCACCATAATATGGGTGCCCTACTACGAATGTAATACTTCTAACCGACCTCAGAATATGAGCAAACTTTGTAAAAAGACAGAGGAAATAAATGCTTCGGTACTATCAAAGCTTGGCAATGGTCTCAAAGAAGAGGTTATGTTCTCATGTGCTGATGATGACCATTCTGTTGCCAAAACATATCAATATTTTATTATTCACTGTACAGTTACTAAAGGTTCTTCTGAAAGGAAGACTGCCTTAAACCGTGGGCTTTTCCTCTCCACTGATGTACTAGCATGTTGGCTGTCTATTATCTTTGGCTTTACATATCTGTTTGTGGATAGGAATTTACAATACAAAAGAAACTCAAACATCAAGCAATGTGAGACAGCAGTTTTGATTTCCTGATTATACCATTTTTTTATACAGCTGCCCACTTCTATAAGCGTTATTTCATGCAGTAATGAGTTTTGCAAGGAGAAAAACTAAAACTGACATTGGCACATTTTTCCTTTTTTTCCCTGCAGGAAAATGGCTTTCTTAGCATGCAATTTATCCAATTACGGATTTACAGCACAGTGCGAAGTCGACCATATGATACAGCCTAAGTCTATTTTTCAGCCTTTGGAGCAAATCCAATCATTCCAAATGGTTGCTGATGGTAATAATTCCAGCAGCATTGTATTGATAGTGGGTCCATGGGGTGGAAACAAACAAAGCACATGAAGAAAAGGAGAGGGTACAGTTAAGGTAAGTACACCCCAGGCCCTGTAACCCTCACCCAGTGCCCCAAATATGCTCTCTTTTGCCCTGGAACACCCTGAAGTAAGATCCTCAGGCTGGCCCCAAGTCCCCCCTAAATCTTATCCAATACCCCCAATACTGTCTCTTCAGCCCCTGGCTTTAGCTTCCAGCATGCTACAGTGGCCCAGACACAAAAATCTTTGGCTTACTTTTTCTAAGTGTCAAGATTAAGTGCCACAGGCAAAAAAATCTTTGGCTGCCATTTCTAGGTGTCAGAAGAACAGAGTATCAGGACCACAAAAATCTATGGCAGATTTTTTCCAAGTGTCATAACAGAGTTCTTAGACCACAACAATATCTGGCTGATTCAGTACAGCGCCATATTTGCGTGGTGAAGCGGGAACTTGCCACAGCGTGCCAAATATGTGCACTGCATCAGATTCAACAGAGTGTGCCCACACCAATGCTGTAAGTCATGTGACTATTCCTCTCCTGGAGATCTGATGGTGGCCAGACCCTTCATTCTGTCTGCCACCATCTTCCTGAATTATTTTTAAATAGTTTATTGTGCATGCCAAGTTAATATTTATATGGGTTGATGATTTGACGTTGTTTGGCGTTATGCATTACTCATATTATAATGTTTTATCAGGATTGAAAAATACACTCCTATGTGTGAGAGGGCTTCTT